AATATCTATTAAAAGTTACATTACTTATATAAAATAAAATACATTATGTTTATTAATAAATGTTCTTGTTTAATATTTATAAATAACTTATTTATACGCATTAGGGTGTTCCTTAGCTATAGATGATGGGAAAAAATATCATAAAATGTTTGGTCTCACCCCCTAATATTGTGCCTATATGTACAAAAACGAACTACAAAAAGTTTTGGTTCAATCAGATAAGGTTAACCCGTGCCGACTTGTGATTTAAGTTTGAACTTACTACATTTTTCAATATTTACGAAAATTTTTAACATTTTCATAAATATTTCGTTAACCTTTAGAAATATCGATATTTTTAATATTACATATTTTAAAGTGAATTAAATTTTCTATAACTTTTATTTTATTAAATTTTTTCATATCTCCAATGGTTCGTGAAGTATTTCGACTTGACTCCAAAAAAACACAATTTAGGTATTTTTTCATAATTATGAATTATTGTGCGGGCTAAAATAATTGTTACAAAACTCCCATATGAAATTTTCTATAGTTATTTTATGTATTTTTGCCTTCATATTATCTCTGGTAATATAACAATCACAATACAACATACTACGTGGCTTTAGAAAATGTTAAAGAAGATATTCTGAATTTTGTTAAAAGTAAATTAGAAACTAAACAGCCTCGTGGAGATTATCGTGAATTTTTGGAGTTAATATTTATTTTTATTAGCGGTAATTTGGAAAATAAAATTAAAATGCATCCTCCCGGAGCCATGCATCAAGCCCGGTGGATGGCACGAGCAATTTATTGCTTAAAAATATTTTTGTTTAGAAGCCAATACAATATTTCCGACTTAACAAAAAAAGCAATCTGTGAAATTTGTGTTTTTATTATTAAATTTTACGTCAAAGCTTGGTTTACTTGTCCATTGCCAAATAAGTCCCCAAATCAAGACTTACAATTTATAAAAGATATGAAATTATATGAAGTATTTGATAGAGAAATATCTAGAGTATCAATTCAAAAATTATGCAACCATTTGTGGTATTTAACTGAAGAGGCTGCTGCATTATCTTTCTTTGATGATTCTATACCACTAGAGGTAAAGCGTCAGATGGTAAAAGCCTTAAAAAAAAAAGCGACAAAATATCCGGCCAAACGATTGATAATTAAACCAAACCAAATAGATGATAAATTTATTGGTAAGTAAATAAACATTAAGTTTAAAAAATATATTGAATACGTTTAATAATTCATAAAATAAAAAATAAGCAATTAATTATATTTAATATTATAATTTTTACAGAAAAAAATATTGACGCATTTATAACAGAAGAAAGCTTAAAACTATTTTCCCGATTTAACATTGATGACGGATTCTTAAAACATGATCCGACTTTTTGGGAATCTAGTGAAAGTTACATAAATGGTAAAAAAATTATTAATTCATTAAAAATAGTTAACGATACTGCAGAGAGAGCCGTGAAGTTGATGGAAGAATACAATTCTACACTCACATTAGATGAAGAACAAAAACAATTTATACTAAAATGTGTACAAGAACATCGGAAAATTTATCCAGATTGTAAAAAAAGCACCTTACAACAACAATATTAATTTTCATTATTCTATAGAATTTTTTTTTATGATAAAAATATTTCATTTTTTTAATATATATTATAAAACATTAACATAATTATTAATTATTCTATAACATTGTTTATTATAATTAATCGTTACTATGTTGCTCGTATTTCCAAAGATATCGTGTTTTTTAGAGTCAAATCAATATAATTCACGAACCATTAGAGATATGAAAAACTGTAATAAAATAAAAGTTATAGCAAATTTAATTTACTTTAAAATATGTAATATTAAAAATATCGATATTTCTAAAGGTTAACGAAATATTTATGAAAATGTTAAAAATTTTCGTAAATATTGAAAAATGTAGTAAGTTCAAACTTAAATCACAAGTCGGCACGGGTTAACCTTATCTGATCGAACCAAAACTTTTTGTAGTTCGTTTTTGTACATATAGGCACAAAATTAGGGGGTGAGACCAAACATATTTTAAAATCAAAAATTAAGGAACACCCTAATACGCATGCTTGAACATTTAATACAAGGCCCCTAATATATTGTTGCAATGGCGTTTGAAAAATATTAAAAATCGTAAGCTACAGTTTTTTTTTTATAAGCATTTAAAGTTAAAATTTTGACAATATGTATCAAATTTAAAATTAAAATTATTTTGTCTTTAAAAATGTATAAAATGTTCAACTTTTATAGATAAGGATTGAAATTTTAAAACAAGGTTCCAGTTATAGACTGACTGACCTTCTTTGCTCATAATCGTTTTTTTTATACAATTATATTTTATTATTATTGAATTTAAATTTAACTCGCTCCATCCATTACAGTGACCCATTTGTAACTTACTTTACAGCCTAGCGACACCTAGACTTGCAGCCCACCTTTTTGTTTCTTGATGCTTTATGAGATTGTCATACCTGCATATTATCATATTATCACAGATTATTATTTAATATAATCTGTGCAAATTCTTTTTGTGCTATTTCTAGCCTAGAGGCATTTTAGAAGTTCATAAAAGTTATTCTTTTCATAGTAAACATTAGAAAGAAGACTCCTGACAAATTGTTCTTCTTTTAACAAAATAAAAAGTTAAGCCCAAAGTTATGCTATTATTATTGCTATAAGATATTCTAGATTTTTATAAATTTCTTTTATTATTAAATTTGATTATTCAATTATGTTAGGACTCAGTATAACGCAACATTAAATTCAAATAACACACTCATTAAGGCAACATGCTTGACAACTGCTGCACCCACATGCCACCTCTTTAATTTCTAAAATATGCAGGTAACTATAGTGCTATACTGCCGTCATAAGCGAAAACGCCGTAAGTCACCGGAGAACGGTTTTGAGAAAAACTCGTTTTTGTATTTTCATGAGATCATGGCGTTTAAGTTATTTGATTATTGATTGTATTATATGTTTGTAGTAATATTTCAGACATAAGGCATATTCGTCTACACAAGCTGAATTTCACAATAATTTTTTTTTTATAACCTCATTTTTTATTTTTTTGGGACTATTACGGCGTTTTTGCTTATGACGGCAGTATAGATGTATGCTTCTCCCTTTACTGTTAAATCAATGAGAGTAATAATTAATTAAGTAAGAGAGTAATAAATTTGATTATTCAATTATGTTAGGACTTAGGATAACACAACATTAAATTCAAATAACACACCCATAACGACAACATGCTCGACAACTACTGTACCCACTTGTCCACCTCTTTATAATTTCTAAAATATGCAGGTAACTATAGTGGTATAGATGTCTAGATTTAATATATTTATTGAATATTACAAAATAAAAATTATCCTTAAAGTAATAAACTTAAGTATAAAATAATGATAGTTTATAAAGTTATCAGTTAATTATATAAAAAAATATTTTTAATTTATGTAACTCAAATATTAAAAAGAATTTCATTTTGAAATTTTGAAAATGAATTAAACTCATCAGCTGCTGCTATTTTAATTGTTTCTTTTTCATTTGTAGATAATTTTGTTATACCATGTAATAGTCTATTTTACTTCGACCCTAAACCTATATAAACTAGTTTATACTTTATAGGTCTATGACTTTGGCCCACCAATGGATTGTTATTAATTTAATTGTGACGTTTAAAATAGGCTAGGTTAGGATTTCAGTTTGGAAATATTTTGTGTATTGGACAATTATACTGTATTTGTATTTTAGATATTAAAAGAGACTTAAAATTTAACCTATGGCAAATCGATGGAAGTAGAGAAAATGTGAGATCAATATTATCGGATTCGGACATTTTGGCGTGGCTATTTCGGCGTAGTCTCTTTAGATTATTTCATAAAATTATATATAATAAACTTATACAAGTGGAATTGGGAATATACTATCGCAGAACATAATCTATATAACGGTCTTGGTTAATATAGGTATATAGTTAACCTATACGCTGTATCGATAGACGATCATTGAGTAATAATATAAGATAATCAACTAGTTTGTAGTTAGTATAATAGTATAGTCACTATGGGACAAGCAATGGAAACTTTCCGTGGACGTGAAATATTTGTACATGATGGTCATATATATATATTTTTGATGCATTCAGGGCCGTTCTTACGACGTCCGGTTAAAGTTAACCGACACTTAACCGGAGGAATTCTGCCGGTAATAAAATCTGTTATCAGTCGGTTAGCGTTAACCGACACTTTACCGGACATTGTAAGAACGGCCCTCAGTGTAGATAAATTAAAAAAGTTTTGGCGATGTCGTTACAAAGATTTGTGTAAGTCGAGAAATCATACAATAGTTAAAACTTTAGAGGTAATTTAATATTCCATTATTTTTGCTACTTATCAGTAGGTTACATTTTAGATTCTGAGTGGAACTATGAATGTATTGATCTTACAATGATGTGTTTTCCATCATATATTTATTTATAAAAATACGTTTAGTGAGATTTATTATATTTTATAATAATCATATTATTATATTATAGGTACATAGGAACTTAGTAACTTACATAATATATAATATTTTCTACAGTGTCTACAGTTTCTATAATGTTTTTTACCTTATAGGAACTTACATAATATGTAGAGCACGGTTAAAGATACCTTAAAGATATATCGTAAACCGGGATGAAGAGTAACCTGGGGTATGATGGAGGATGGGGCAAAAATCACAAAATTAATCATTGCGTACTATATCTCATTGTTTAAGCGTGACAAGAAATTTAATAATTGTTATCTGGTCAAACATTTTGTTATTATGATTATGTTATCATGGCCAAACGTGATAAAAATATTGGAATGTTCTTTTGGGTTTCCTAACTTTCCTTTGGAGTTTGGATGATGGAAATTATAATACTAAATTAATCTAAAAATTGGGCTCCTAATTAATTGTAATTTGTATTGTATTAAGACGAAATCATGGTTCTTCGTTGTATATTGTGTTGTAGTGCATCAAATACACACAAAGACGTCAGTTTCCATCGGTGAGTCAAAAATTAAAATGTTGTTTTATATAACAATATAATTTTAAGTTTATACTTTTGACATACATTGTTTTAGGTTTCCAAAGAATGAAACTGTACGATCAATTTGGATTGACTCTTTAAGTATAAAAGAAGTTGTTAAAGACTGGCATCGAATTTGTAGTTCACACTTCTCTCCAGATCATTTTACTTTTAAAAATGAACGGAAGATTTTAAAACTAAGTGCCATTCCAAAAGAGTAAATATTTGTCTTCAAAATATTTGTTCTAGTAATTTAAGTTATTTAAATATACTGTTTTTATTGATTAATAGGAAAGAAGTGAAAGACGAAGTCGGAAGTTGTGAAACTTCCTTAGACCATGACGTGAATTTAATGAGTAACAGGTATTAAATTACTTTTTAATACTTTATATGCTTATAATATTTTCTTAATATAGGTATTAAATAACTACATAATATCTTGTTTTTAGTTTAATTGAAGTTGATTGTTGTCCTGATATTGACATTTTCAATGAATCTGCACCAAGTACAAGTAAAAGGTATAATAAAGTATTTCAACCCGTACAAACCCCTTAAGTATTTAATTAATGTTATATTATCCATGCATTATACCTCAGGTTACTCAACCTGTTTCTATCATGTAGGAACTAACAAAGGTATTTTTTTACCTATTTTCCTAATGAAATAATTTAGTATTTATTTTAAATATAAAAATAACATTCCCAGGTATGCACTATTCGTTGTTGTGTAGAGATTTAGTCTTTTACAATCATAGTTTCAAGTTGTTAAAAAAACAATGTTTTTATTAAGAAATACTATTTTTAAATATTTTTTATCTAGAATATTTTTCTGAGTATTTTGATTTATAAGAATCGAATTTGGGGCGAGTAGCTTATGAGTTATAAGCATTTATAATTTTGATGATGGTGTAGAGTTGTACGGGGTTACCCTGCAAAATGTTTGCCTACTACTATGCTTGTCTAAACATTAAATACTAATAACCCTCAAACGACTTGTCCCAAATTCAATTCTTATGTATCAAAATATTTAGAAAAATATTGCTCTGCTTTGAAATATGAAATTAAAATTATGGTGTCATTCAAAAAAGTAAAAAACTTAAACAAATATAAGGATTTAAAATATGATTTTCTAATAAAAACATAATTTTTTTAACAATTTGAAAGTATGAAAAAAAATATTTTCAAAAACATTAAAACTTTTTGAAATAATGAGTGTTTAATGATAAAATAATCACCTTCTATTATTGTTTTTAGTTTAATTGAAGTTCATTGTTGTCCTGATATTGAAATTTCAAATGAATCTCCGCCAAGTACAAGTAACAGGTATACTAAAGTATTCAAACACCTTTTATATTAATTAATCTTATATTATCTATGCATTTATACCCCAGGTTACTCTACCATTATCGTGTAGGAACTAACATAATATGTATTTTTTTTTCTGTATTTTCTTAATGATATAATTTAGTATTAATTTAAAATATAAAAATAACTTCCCCAGGTATACACTATAGTTGTTGTTTAGAGATTTAATTATAGAATCTGTAATTACAATATATATTACAATAAGTAAATGTGATGGGGATGTTTAGCGGGAGGAGGGAAGTCGCCCATTGGTGACACCCCATGGAAATTGATTTAAGGAGAGATTAGGTCCCTACAAATTAGATTGAACATTAAAACTTGTAATACTATTTATAACACGAGACCTTTTTTTAGGCTTATAATTTGTATTTTTTCCTTCTACACATAAGAATATTGAAATATAATATGTTTATTATTTTACTCTATTGTTTAGTGAATAACAGTATTTTTGTTTTAGGTTAAATAGTCCATCAAAAAACACCAAGAAAAAGAAGAAAAAATCTAAGGTATCTAATGTTTTATTTATTTATACTTTTTTATAATTTAATTGAATTATTAGAAGTTTTGGCTAATGCTGATAAAGGTGACTTTGAATGTTGTTGGGCATTTTTGTAAAATAAATAAACATGCTGAGATTCTTAAATATTTCAGTTTAGTTTTGATTTCTTTTCTACACACGTTTTCAGTTTACAATTTCTTTAATTTTTTTTTGTGACATTTGTAAAATTCTAAAGATCCAGTAATAAGTATTTTTTTTTTTAAAGCATTTAAAGTTTGAATTTTGATAAAATACGTAAAAATCGCGAAAATGTGTAAATAATTTTGAATTATTTTTCTTTTGATTTGAAAATTTACTAAAAGATTCCTCATAAGTTTGTATACCTTTATCAAAAATAAATGTCGGCCAAAACCTCATATTAAACTTTTATGTGCGTTTGAACTTTGGATATTTATTCGTTTTCTCATGTAACAATTTTCGTTTTTGTTGTAATTCAAAAACGAATTACTGTAGATACTGTAGAATTTACACCAACGGAGCGACACCCACCTGCCAACCTTCTTCTCATTGAATTTTAAAATGCCAAAATTTCAAAATCACAATTTTTTTTAAATTTTTAAATTTCACCTTTTTAGAAATTTGTCAAAATGATTAAAATATATATAAGTTATTTTGTAGTTAAAATTCACTACAGTTTAGGAAGTTTTCACTATACCGTGTATGTAAATCGAAAATATCTAATGAACATTTTGAATTAAAATTTTATAGGTTGTAAATACTAAAGAAGAAATGTCACAGAAACAATCAAATAAACGTAAACGTCAGACGTCTGATAAAGAATACTCGAAAAACGATACTCCTCAATCAGAGAACACGGATGTGGATAATAATTATATTGAAGAAGACGACAGTAAATATTGTAATCAAATGTCTGACAATGCCTACGGAGACAAAAATGTTCTCACTGGAAAAACTCCTCTCCAGTGCGACTTTTGCTTTAAAACTTTTGATTACAGATCTAATTTGCTTGTTCATAGAAGAACGCACACCGGTGAAAAACCATATGGGTGCGACATTTGTGGTCTAGCATTTATGATGCACGGTCATTTAGTTAGACATCAAAGAACGCACACAAGGGAGAAACCATATGGATGCGATGTTTGTGGAAAATCATTTCCGGAAGAAGGAACATTGGTTAAACATAAACGAATGCACACCGGTGAGAAACCACATGGGTGCGACGTTTGTGGACTCGCATTTATGATGCAAAGTCATTTAGTTAGACATCAAAGAACGCACACCGGTGAGAAACCATATGGATGCGATGTTTGTGGAAGATCATTTTCGGAAAGAGGAAATTTGGTTAGACATAAAAGAACGCATCCAACATCTAATAATGCCTATAGTGATAAAAATGTTCTCACTGGAAACACTCCTCTCAAATGTGACTTAACCGTCACAGGTGAGAAAAAATATGAGTGCGATGTTTGTGGCCGATCATTTTCGGAAAAAGGAAGTTTAGTTAAACATAATAGAACGCATGAAACATCTGACATTGCCTACGGTGAGAAAAAATATGAGTGCGATGTTTGTGGACTAGCATTTCACACGCTAAGTAATTTAGTTAGACATCAAAGAAAGCACACCGGGGAGAAACCATATGCGTGCAATTTTTGTGGAAAATCATTTTCGCAGAAAAATCATTTGGATGTACATAATAGAATACACACCGGGGAGAAACCATATGTGTGTGCCGTTTGTAGCCTTTCATTTTCTGATAAAAAACATTTGGTTATACATATTAGAAAGCACACCGGAGAGAAACCATATGTGTGCGACGTTTGTAGCCAATCATTTCCGGAAAAAAGACTTTTGGTTACACATACTAGAACGCACACCGAGGAGAAACCATATGCGTGCGTAGTTTGTGGAAAATCATTTTGGCAGCAATATAATTTGGTAGTACATAATAGAACACACACCGGGGAGAAACCATATACGTGCAATGTTTGTGGCCGATCATTTTCGGAAAAAGGAAGTTTAGTTAAACATAATAGAACGCACACAGGCGAACGACCATACGAGTGCAGTCAGTGTGGAAAAAAGTTCAAAACAAGCCGAGACTGTAAAAGACATACACTAGGTGTTCATGCCAAAAAAAAAAAAAAAAATTGAAATTGTTATCGTCGTATGACCCATTACTCAAGAAAAATAAACTATCAAACATCAAATTGAAAACGTTCGCTCACGCCTTAAGAGTCGAGAGCTCTGTTAGCGCTATCACTACACCCTAAACGTTTGAATACCTCTGCTTGGGCATAAGAAAATCCATATAGTTCACACTGTTGACGACGATCATCATTCATTGTGAATAAAACCTCGAATTCTTTCGTGTAGTAGCTTCAGACCTCACTTTCTGGCGTCATACTGTCATCAATCGTACTCGAAATTGCTGGCACCGGAAAATTTTCCCACTCGTGTGGAGTGGGACGCTTGTACCAACACGTGTACATCAGTTTATGTAAATTCTTTGAACACCGAAGAAGATAGCTGTTAGTAAGAACATTTCAAAAAGCTAAACGGATGTTTTTAATTTGTTACAAACGTTATTAAAATCATCAATTACCCAAATATTGTTGTGTGCACTATATGTTAATTAATGTATTGCTTCTCTCTCCACAATTTAAATGTAAATATTTTTACTTCCGATTGCTTTTGTAAGTATTTTGTATTAACTACTCGTCTACTCAATAATACTAGTTAATTATATAATTTACATATTAGTTATAACTATAGACTGTAGTTCAATGATCTTGTAATACATACTTCCTAATCATACTACTGTATATAATAACAATCCGATCGGCGATCGTTGAGGTAAGGGCCTACTGTTTAGAACTCAGAAAACGCTATCACTACATTGTAAAAGATTGATTACCTCATCCAGGGGCGTATTTAGACTTACTTCTAGGGGGGGGGCGACTTATTTAATTTTTCACTAAGTATGGACCCGAAAAAAATCCCATTTCATAGCCACGGGTATTGTACGCCGAATGCTTGAAATTATCACGCACCCTCGTTGCGATGGTTTGACACGTATAAACTTAAACGATCTAATTAAAATGTGAATATATTTTATTAGATTTTAGAAACGTTTTTAACAAAAAATTTTTATAATTAGTTTGATTAAATAACAAAATCAAGGTTCCTTTTTTTTTTTGAAAAACGATCAATAATGTCGTTAACATCAATAATTATATCTTGATGGATATTCATTAAAGCCAAACTAGTCAACCTTTGTTGGCCCATTTGGTTTCTCAGCCATGTTTTTAACCTATACGTAACAAGCAATACAAGCATAATTCATAAGTTAAAAAGCATTGTTACGGACAATTATCATTATAAAAGTTTGTTGCTCAAAATATAAACTATTTATTATTAATGTTCAAGTAGATATTATGTATGTATACATAATATATGCTTGTACCCAAATAAAATAATACAATACATTAAGCTATAATAAAATATAAGCAGTTAAAATAGTATAGATCATCCATTTTAAAATGTGCAGCATGCATAAAATAAAATGTAAGTTTTACTGGTTCGTTTATGAATTTTAACTGTTAACTTATATAGGTATTTGAATAAACTTAATGTAATAAGTAATAACTTAATATATCTTGTTAATTAATTTGATGTCGTTATAAAAATTATCCAAATTAAAAAAAATTGAAGTGTGTATCTCACATACAATCGATTTCATAAATACAGATTCAGGGGGGGCGGTCGCCCCTTCGCCCCCCCCCTAAAATACGCCCCTGACCTCATCTCGGGCGTTTGGGACGAAGAAGTAAAACCATTCAATCCACAATGTCTGTGACAATCGTATATGTTGTGAATTAAACCTTGAATACAGCTGTGTAGTATAGATGCAGTGCTTACTGTTGGGTGTCATACTGTCTTCAGTAGTACCAAAAAATGCTCTCACCAGAAAATCTTCATAATCGTGATGGCGACGCTTGTACCAACATGTACATAAGTTTATGTGCATTTTCTTAACACCTAAGACTATTTAAAACATCACGCGTTTGACCTTTGTGGTATTTGCTTTCATGTAGAAACTACTATTAAAAAACCAAATTACAAACGCATACCGGAAAATCTTGTTACAACATTTCAAAACGCACACCAAAAAACTATTTGGATATTTTTGATTTGTTACAAACACTATTAAAACCATCAACAACTAAAAGGTTGTTGTGGGCACTTCACCATAATAAATGTATGCTTCTCCCTTTACTGTTAAATCAATGAGAGTAATAATTAATTAAATAAGAGAGTAATAAATTTGATTATTCAATTATTTTAGGACTCAGGATAACGCAACATTAAATTCAAATAACACACCCATAACGAAAACATGCTCGACAACTACTGTACCCACTTGTCCACCTCTTTAATTTCTAAAATATGCAGGTAACTATAGTGCTATAGATGTCTAGATTTAATATGTTTATTAAATATTACAAAATAAAAATTATAATTAAAATAATAAACTTAAGTAAAAAATAATGATAGTTTAAAATTTAACCTATGGCAAATCGATGGAAGTAGAGAAAATGTGAGATCAATATTATCGGATTCGGACATTTCGGCGTAGTCTCTTTAGATTATTTCATAAAATTATATATAATAAACTTATACAAGTGGAATTGGGAATATACTATCGCAGAACATAATCTATATTACGGTCTTGGTTAATATAGGTATATAGTTAACCTATACGCTGTATCGATAGACGATCATTGAGTAATAATAATATAAGATAATCAACTAGTTTGTAGTTAGTATAGTCACCATGGCACTAGCAATGGAAACTTTCCGTGGACGTGAAATATTTGTACATGATGGTCATATATATATATTTTTGATGCATTCAGTGTAGATAAATTAAAAAAGTTTTGGCGATGTCGTTACAAAGATTTGTGTAAGGCGAGAAATCATACAATAGTTAAAACTTTAGAGGTAATTTAATATTCCATTATTTTTGCTACTTATCAGTAGGTTACATTTTAGATTCTGAGTGGAACTATGAATGTATTGATCTTACAATGATGTGTTTTTCTTAAATTTAAAATTTAAAATTGTTGTGCCTGTGTACCTACACGATAAGTAGTCGAAATAATGCTTCGATTTTCAACTTTAGTATCTTGTTTGATGGGGAAGTGAATATTGATGGTGCGTTGGTTAGGTCAACTGTCAACATTCTTATGTGGCGTTCAGACTTTTCCACTTGGGCAGTGAAGTTTATACTCAGGGGACGGCGGGACGCCCAGTTTTCAAAAGAGCTAAAAAAAAAATTAAGACCTTCAAAAGCACTTCCAGCCAAAGTTCTAGAGTCAAACAATCATTCCAGACCGAATTCTTACGTTGAAGCCACCAGGATTCAAGATTCTTCCACAGATCACATTTTCATCATACTATCTAATTTTATTACTAACCTCAACTCTCTAATTAGTCCACTAATAACTCTCCTCTCCTCTGTTCTTAACGCACTAATCCCCATAGCTTCCTTATCTGTATAATTATTTTCGTAAAATTATCCTCATTATAACATAATAGTCCATCCGGCATCCAAATCCAAGGCAATTATACTTTATAGGTTATACCTCACTAATGTTTTGAATACCTATACCCAATGGCGAAAAATTTCGGTTCAAGTAAATAAAATCATTAAATACTGATATAATAAAAAGTATACTGATAAGTGATTACTAAACGTGTATACGGATAATCATAGGTACATCATAGTATTTAGTAGGTACTATTAATAATAAATGTGAATAATAATATTATACGAGTATAATAATATTGTCATGACTTATTGAGATATATGCGAGCATGCGGCGGCGATTCTCGGTAGTCGGTAACTCGGAGTGGATCCTATAATAGTTGGTATACTAAATTATAGAAATAGATTGTATACTAGGCCCAAGAAAGAAATTATTTTTTTCATTTCTTTCTAACGATTTTAATATGAGAGTGGTGTTTGAGGGTGTTTGGTGTCAGAAATAACGTCCAAGTTACTTATTTAAGTAGTTTTACAATTATTTTGCATTGTAGACATGATTAAATTGTATTAAATTTTAAAGAAAATTAAATAACCTTATAATTTAAAGTAGTTAGTACAATCACGTGCGTTGTCATATTACTTTTATTAAATATTGCTTGTAGACAGCTGATTTCCTTGTCATTTTATATATTAGGATATCGTGTTCGCGAAATCCTATATCCGAGTATCGACAATCTTATTATTATACCGTGTTCGAAAATCGTCACGTTACCTACCTATATTATGTATTTATATTGTCGTGGACGCGATTGTCACTGATTATAATATATTATACATTTTATTATATTTTTAATGGAGGCTTGACTATTTTCCTTGACTCGCAATTAATATTTTTATACCTCCATCGAGAATCACTACGTGTTATTATTTATTATATTAACTCATATAACCGCTAAATAGCCATATTATTTATTATTGTTTTTATCTGTTGGGTCAAACTTGACTTAAACTAATAAATATAGAAACAAAAATAGGTATATTGTTTTAAATTACCGTGTACACAAATCGTTTTTTTTTTTAAATAATAATTTAATTACTAATTTCCCTGACTTATTAACGGCATTTCACTTGTTCCTTACATTACTGGTTACTGTGACGAGTGCATAAAGAACATTCTCAAAACTTAAATTAATTAAAAATTATTTAAGAAGGACCATGTCCCAAACACGGTTTAGTGGTCTTGCGATACTTTCAACAGAAAATGAGCGTGCTAAAATATTGAACTTATCGTTATTATTGAAGACGTTTGCTCATTGTAAATAAAATATTATTATTACTGTTTCCGAAATTATAATTCAATAAATTATTAATTGACTATAAATATATTTTTTTTTTATTGCATACAAATATACAGCCGAATGTTTAGAAATTTAAATTACAGATATAGAGCCTCCAAACAAAAAAAATATCCACGGGCCTCAACGATCGTAGTTCCGCCACTGCCTATACCGATATTGAGTCTTTGTATCTACCTAATTAAAATTAGGTAGTTTATCTCATATTTCATGTTTACCTAATATGGAATATTATTACATTATAATTGTTGAGCTATAATAGTGAAAACTGAAAGCTAATAAAAAAAAATAAAACACAAATTCATATATTTTGTAAAACAACATACAATATTAAGATTATTATAATTTGTAGGGCCAAAAATATTTTCCTTTTTAATTTTTTTGTTCCGTTATCCCTAATTCCTACGTAGTAATAAATTATTGTTTGTGACATGTTTCCTTTCATATGTGTAGGGAATGTTAAAATTATTTATGAATTATTCTACTTAATATATAATATAGTTAGTTAAAACTTAATCTTACAGCATTAATTTTAATTAATTGTTATTCAATTATAAATTAGCAAATGCATTTTTTTTTAAATAAAATATTAAAATGTTACCATTGATTTGATGATTTTAAGTAATTTCTAAAATTAAATGTTTCTAGCTTATTTAGTCATTGATACCACAAACTTGGAAAGTTTAAATTATTATATGCCACCTATAAACTTTTAATTTATTCATGTAAAAAGTAAAAACTTGGTGTACACTATGCAGTTGGTCCCACCACTACACATGGGCAACTTCCCATACATGCCCACCCACTCGGCAGTCATTTCCAAAATGTATATCTTAAAACTGGAAAAAGAGTTCCCTTATATATATTTATTTATATTGAATACGGGACGAGCCCAATTACATTTAATTTTGTTGACAATAATTAACAAGAAAAAATTACACATATTTAAGAAAGGAAGTCAATAAGTAGACTAAACGCTAAGGAATTGTGGGTCCTCATTGGCCAGTTTCATCATACGAACTATAGGGCGATTAGTTAAATAATTACGGCGGCTAAAAGGAATATGAAATCGAAAAGAAGATCTGGAACAATAAGCAGGAACTTTGATATTAACTTTGGATAGGAGTACAGCCGTACAGGGGCGTCAATTTCACCATGAATAAGTTTAGAAAGGAACGTAAGGTTGCCCGGTTTTCTTCTATCACATAGGATAGACAGACGGAGACGCTGCAACATTGGTTCATACTCATGAGGTGGGCCCTCAATACCTAAAGCAAAAGCGGCAAATTTTAAAAATGTACGCTGAACTCTTTCAAGTTGGCAACTACCATCAATGTTGCATGGTTCCCAGATAATTATACCATACTCCAACACAGACCGAACGAAAGAGCAGTACAAGGTCTTAAGAGAACTAGACAATTTAAACTCACAAGAAATCCTTTTAACAAATCCGAGAAGCTTCAACGCCTTACATGTAACTTTCTCAATATGAGCCTGAAAAGTAAGAGACCGATTAAAAGAGATACCAAGGTCTATAATATAATCACTGGAGCGCTTAAGAGCAATATCGTTGATAAAGTATTTATACAAGATCGGTTCATTGGAACGAGTGAAGGTCATGGAATGACATTTAGGGATACTAAGTTCCAAGCCAAGTCCTTGGCCCCATTGAGCTATAGCATTTAGATCAAATTGCAACAGCTTACAATCATCAGTGCTGGTAATATGGAGAAAAACCTTAATATCATCAGCAAATATAAGAAGCTCACAGTGGTGTTTAATTACATCTTTGATACTATTAATAAAAAGAGCAAAAAGAACGGGTGAGACTGTGAGAGATGCCCTCCTTGAGGGACACCGGAGGTAACATTGATTGGACTGGAACAAAAACCGTTAATCTTGACAAGCTGTTTCCTCTCAGACAAATAGGAACGGAACCATGAAATTAAAGGTTCACCAAACCCGAGATTTTACAACACACTAAGCAGAGTATGATGGTTAACGCTGTCAAAGGCTTTGGCGAAGTCCAAATAAATGGAATCGACCTGTAATTGTTTGTTAAAAGCCTCAAGGACATATTCAGTAAAAATTAAATTGCAGGTCGTAACTGACCGCCCAGGGCGAAAACCATGTTGCTCATCGATAATGATACAATTAACAGGCCTTTGAATGGACTTCAAAACAAAAGACTCAATAAGTTTGGCAAGATGACTGATAATACTAATAAGTCTGTAATTAATGACATCACTAGCGTCGCCTGTCTTAAAAATCGGAGTAACTGTACTAATCTTCCAAATATCTGGGAAGACACCTTCACATAAGGGTTTATTGTAAATTAGAAAAAGAGGAAAACACAAGACAGACCTAAGATTATAAATTAAAGTGCCCGAGAGGCCATCAGGTCCAACTGAATTAGTAAGACGTAATTTGGCTAGACTAGACTAGAACCACTAATACTGAGTTCAACTTCAACATTTAAATTATTAGGTGAAAAAACGGAGCTACAATGTTTTGAGAAAAACTCACATAATGACACTTATCTATGTCAGTTCCTACACGGTAATAAAAGGTGAGTACCTACCTATGTTAGATTTTAAAATCATCATATATTTATTTATAAAAGTGCGTTATGTGAGTCTTATTATATTTTATAACCATCATATTATTATATTATAGTATTATACATAGGAACTTAGTAGGTAACTTACATAATATATAATATTTTCTACAGTGTACGAATTAACAAATTATTATGTAGGTACATCTTTGTTTACCTTATACGAACTTACATAATATGTAGAGCACGGTTTAAGATATACCTTAAAGATATATCAAAAACCGTGATGAAAAGTAACCTGGGGTATTATGGAGGATGGAGCAAAAATCACAAAATTAGATAATTGTTATCTGGTCAAACATTTTGTTATTATGATTATGTTATCATGGCCAAACGTGATAAACATATTGGAATGTTCTTTTGGGCTTCCTTTGGAAAATGGAAATTAGAAAACTAAATTAATCTAAAAATTGCGCTCCTAATTAATTGTAATTTGTATCGTATTAACTGTAAGACGAAACCATGGTCCGTCGTTGTATATTGTGTTGTAGTGCATCAAATACACACAAAGACCTCAGTTTCCATCAGTGAGTCATAAATTAAAATTGTGTTTTATATAACAATATAATTTTAACTTTATACTTTCGAGTTTTGAACATACATCATTGTTATAGGTTTCCAAAGAATGAAATTATACGATCAATTTGGATTGACTCTTTAAGTATAAAAGAAGTTGTTAAAGACTCGCATCGAATTTGTAGTACACACTTTTCTCCAGACCATTATACTTTTAAAAATGAACGGAAGATTTTAAAACTAGGCGCCATTCCAAAAAAGTAAATATTTGTTTTCAAAATATTTGTTCTAGTAATTTAAGTTATTTAAATATACTGTTTTTATTGATTTATAGGAAAGAAATGAAAGACGAAGTCGGAAGTTGTGGAACTTCCTTAGAACATGACGCAAATTTAATGAGTAACAGGTATTAAATTACTTTTTATTACTTTATATACTAATAATATGTACTTAATGTAGGTATTAAATAACTACATAATATCTTGTTTTTAGTTTAATTGAAGTTGATTGTTGTCCTGATATTGACATTTCAAATGAATCTGCACCAAGTACAAGTAAAAGGTATAATAAAGTATTTCAACCCGTACAAACCCCTTATGTATTTAATTAATGTTATATTATCCATGCATTATACCTCAGGTTACTCAACCTTTTCTATCGTGTAGGAACTAACAAATGTATTTTTTACTTATTTTCCTAATGAAATAATTTAGTATTTATTTTAAATATAAAAATAACTTTCCCATTTATGCACTATTAGTTGTTGTGTAGAGATTTAGTTAAGTATGTCTTTTACAAACATAGTTTCAAGATAAAAAATTCCTATTTTTAAATATTTTTACTTTTTTGAATGACAACAGAGTTTTAATTTCATATTCCAAAGCAGAATTTTTTTCTAAGAATTTTTGTTCATAAGAATTAAATTTAGAGTATATTATAACATTAATACTTTTTGAAATAATGGGTATTTGGTGGTAAAGGAATCATCTTGTATACTAATATTTACTTATTATAGGTATTAAATAACTACATAATATTTTGTTTTTAGTTTAATTGAAGTTGATTGTTGTCCTGATATTGACATTTTCAATGAATCTGCACCAAGTACAAGTAAAAGGTATAACAAAGACACAAAGTATTTCAACTCTTACGTATTTAATTAATCTTTTATTATCTATGCATTATACCCCAGGTTACTCTATCTTTATCTGTCGTGTAGGTACCAACATACGTATTTTTTTCACTGTATTTTCCTAATGAAATAAATTAGTATTTATTTTAAATATAAAAATATTTGTCTTCAAAATATTTGTTCTAGTAATTTAAGTTATTTAAATAGACTGTTTTTATTGATTAATAGGAAAGAAGTGAAAGACGAAGTCGGAAGTTGTGAAACTTCCTTAGACCATGACGTGAATTTAATGTGTAACAGGTATTAAATTACTTTTTATTACTTTATATGCTTATAATATTTTCTTAATATAGGTATTAAATAACTACATAATATCTTGTTTTTAGTTTAATTGAAGTTGATTGTTGTCCTGATATTGACATTTCAAATGAATCTGCACCAAGTACAAGTGAAAGGTATAATAAAGTATTTCATCCCGTACAAACCCCTTATGTATTTAATTAATCTTATATTATCCATGCATTATACCTCAGGTTACTCAACCTCTTCTATTGTGTAGTAACTAACAAATGTATTGTTTTATCTATTTTCCTAATGAAATAATGTAGTATTTATTTTAAATATAAAAATAACTTTCCTATACTCTATTCCAAATAAGATCATGAGTCGGCAGCAACCATTTTTGTTGGCCAGCAGGCAGACATATGGCCAGATGCCGTCCCATACGGCGCCGCGTCAGGCACTGCCACGGAACAAAGCCACTCCCATGCGCAGATGTCGGCTCTGACTCATGATCTTATTTGGAATAGAGTATAGGTATGCACTATTACTTGTTGTGTAGAAATTTAGTCAAGTATGTATTTTAAAAACATTTGAATACCTTTTTTTAATTATTGTTCATTATTATCAATAATAAAGCTCATCTTAAAATTCCATTTAACATTAAAACCTGTTTTACTATTATTAATAACACAAGTCTGAACTTCTAGATTCTTAAAAGTTTAAAATATGATTAAAATATGTACTTACTAAGAAAAATCTTAAAATGTTCACTCATTAATTGTCCTTAAACTTGTAAAATATACTGAAAATATGTTTTTTTACTAAAATAATTTATATTTATGTTCATGTTTATATTTAATATATTTTACTTAATAATAATTATTTCAAACATTTTCTTTGATATATTATTTGAATTCAGTTGCATATGAAACAATTAAACAATGTCCAATATAATTCCAAAATATGCTTTAATATGGAAAATACATTTTTTTCTACAAATTCTGTTTAATAAGTCAACCGCATTTTCCATCCTTGATGAGTTGCATAAAGTCAATAACCATATGGAAAATCTTTAAATCCTCCCTGGGCTTATAACTAATTATGACTTTTTAATTGGCCTCATTACGTTCTTGAGCACGTTGACTTTGTGCACGTTTAAATGAATTCATTTTCATTTTTATGGTGCATACTTAAATAACAAATTTCCTCCGATGATCAGGTAGTTAAAAATTATATATGAGATGCCTTCTATGTAAAATTAAGTAGAGGTTCATTAATTTAAATGAAATATACCTACCATGAAAATAGATGAATTTATGTATATATCATAATAAACATGATATCATATACCATAATTTTAAATATTAAGTTTATTTTAACATAATATATTTATTATATGTAATATAAATTAATGTAAGAATTATAAACAAAACTAATAAAAAATATAATTACAATGAAGTGCAGAAGCTCATCATAAAATTCCATTTAACATTAAAACTTGTTTTAATATTATTTATAACATAAGACTGTATTTCTAGGTTTCTAATTTGTATTTTACCTTCTACACATAAGAGTATTGAAATATATGGTTATTATTTTACTTCCTAGTTTAATTTATAACTGGATTTTTGTTTTAGGTTAAAAAGTCTATCAAAAAACACAAAGAAAACCTATAAGGTATCCAATGTTTTATTTATTTATACTTTTTTGTAATTTATTTGAATTATTAGAAATATTTGTCTTATGCTGATAAAGGTAGACTTTGAAAGCTGTTGGGCATTTTTGTAAAATAAATAAACATGCTGAGATTCTTAAATATTTCAGTTATGTTTATATTAGCATTTTTTAAATATTAAACAATTTTCAAAAATATTGTTTTGTTTAAACATGCGTTTTCACTTTTCAGTTTAAAATTTCTTTAGTTTTTTTTCTGACATTTGTAAAATATTAAAAATTAAGTCAGAAATATTTTTTTTTAAAGTATTTAAAGTTCGTATTTTGATAAAATACTTAAAAATCATGAAAATGGGCAAATTATTTTGAATTATAAATTCATAAACATTTTTCTTTTGGTTTGAAAATTTACTAAAATGTACTCATAAGTTTGTCTAACATTATCAAAAAAAAAAAAAATATCTACCAGATAGTCAAATTAAACTTTTATGTGCGTCTGAACTTTGGAAATACACTCGGTTTTTCATGAAGCAATTTTCTTATTTTGTTGTAAATCAAAAACGAATAACTATAGATACTGTAGAATTTACACCATATGCTAATTTTATCAATTCCTATACTTGATATAATTTTCAAAATATTTTGACTCGTTTTGAAATATTCATGGGAAATTAAAAATTTCATTTTTTTTTTTTTATCATTAATAAAATTGACTTTTTGAGGTAAAAAAGCTTGAAAATGTAGCACACGGTTCTTGATATATTGTTAAAAGTTGTAGTGGAAAAATATTTAAAATACACAAAACAATTTTTTTTTATAAGCATTTAAAGTTCGAATTTTGATAGAAAGTATCAAATTATTCAAATTTAAAATTTAATAGTTATTTTGTAGAAAAAAATTTATAAAATGTTCTATTTTATAGCTAAAGATTGAAATGATACTTATTACCGTGTATCCAATTCAAGAATATCTAATAAATATTTTGAATTAATGTTTTATAGGTTGTAAATAGTGAGGAAGTAACGTCACCAATAAAATCGAATAAATGTAAACGACAGACTTCGGATAAAGAAGACTCAATAAACGAAACCCCTCAATCAGTGGACAAGGACGTGGAGACATATGTTAGTAATAATTATGTCAGCGAAGACGGCGGTAAGAAATTAGAAGTTTTTGATTCTCTGGACGATCACACTTCGGAATATCGCACTATGACCGACACAGGTATCTATTCTGACCAATATTGTAATCAAACATCTAACAATGCCAATGGTGACAAAAATGTTCTCTCTGGAAACACTCCTCTCCAATGCGACTTTTGCTTTAAAACGTTTGAGTACAGATCTAATTTGCTTGTACATAGAAGAACGCACACTGGTGAGAAACCATATGGGTGCGACGTTTGTGGACTAGCATTTATGATGAAAAGTCATTTAGTTAGACATCAAAGAACGCACACCGGGGAGAAACCATGTGCATGCGATGTTTGTGGAAAATCATTTCCGGATGAAGGAACACTGGTTAAACATAAAAGAACGCACACCGGTGAGAAACCATACGAGTGCGATGTTTGTGGACAATCATTTTCGGAAAGAGGAAATTTGGTTAGGCATAAAAGAACGCATCCAACATCTAACAATGCGTACGGTGACAAAAATGTTCTCACCGGAAACACTCCTCTCCAATGCGACTTTACCGTGACAGGTAAGAAAAAATATGAGTGCGATGTTTGTGGACTAGCATTTCACATTCTAAGTAAGTTAGTTAGACATCAAAGAAAGCACACCGGAGAGAAACCATATGCGTGCGATGTTTGTGGAAAATCATTTTCGCAGCAAAATCATTTGGTTGCACATAATAGAACGCATACCGGGGAGAAACCATATGTGTGCGACGTTTGTAACCTTTCATTTTCGGAAAAAAAACATTTGGTTACACATAATAGAACGCACACTGGGGAGAAACCATATGCTTGCGATGTTTGTGGAAAATCATTTTCGCACCGACATAATTTGGTTACACATAATAGAACGCACACCGGGGAGAAACCATATGCGTGCAACGTTTGTTACCGATCATTTTCGGAAAAAGGAAGTTTAGTTAAACATAATAGAACGCACACAGGCGAACGACCATACGAGTGCGGTCAGTGTGGAAAAAAGTTCTCAACAAGCCGTGACTGTAAAAGACATACACTAAGTGTTCATATCAAAAAAAAAAAATAAATTTGTTATTATTATTGTCGTATGACCCATTACTCAAGAAAAATAAGCTATTAACATCAAATTATATATGAAAACGTCCAGTGGCGTATATAGGGGGGAGGCCCCCTAGGCTAGAGCCCATAGTCAAATTGCAGGTACAATTAAACCATTTTATGTATATAGACCTATACATTATACACTGTTTACAGTTTTTCACCATGATTAATTTAGCCGGTTGATTAAAATCGTTTTGAGGAATCAACAAGGAAATGTTAGATTGTCAGGACTTGCTTTGATGACTTTTATGTGTTAAATTCACAATAAGATAACATTAAAATATATATGTATATGTATATTATACGAACTTATCTATATTTTTAAAAAAGAATTAAAAATGAATTTCACATAATAATTATAAAATTTAATTTGCGCAATTTTTATTAGTATTTATAACCTCCCTGCTACTTAAAAAAATGTATAGTTATGGCTATGTTAGTCCGTTTGACGCGCTATGCTGACTAGTGATAAATTGGCCCATAGTGAAAATAATTTGTATATACGCCACTGAAACGTCCGATCATCGCGTTAAGGGTCGAGAACTCTGAAAACGCTATCACTACATCGTAAACGTTTGAATACCTCTGCTCGGGCATAAGAAAAACCATATAGTTCACGCTGTGGACTTGTAGTAGTTTCAGTGATCACTGTCTGGCGTTGTGTTGCGTGCCCTTTACATTAATGGATGTATTGCTTCTCCGTCCACTGTTTAATATCAATGAAAATATTTCTACTCTAGAATTATTTTATACGCGAATAGCGAGACTTACCTACTCGACTAAAATTATACTATGTAAATAATAGTTATAAGTTATAAACTTATAAAGTTATAACCTTAGGCTGTAGTCCAATTTAATTTTGTAATACATTTATACATATACCACTTAATCATATTAAATTCAATTTGTATGGAATTAGGTTTTTGTTGTGTACATTTATTTTATCTATAGACGATAGTTGAATAATAAAAATTAGAATTTTTGTATATAATTACAGTTTTTTGTTTAAACATTTTTTAGAATTATTTCTAACGTATTGATTTTACACTGATGTGTGTGTGTGTGTTTTTTTTTAAACACTTAATTTCTTCAACTTAGAAGGCATTTTCTGTTATTTCGGTTTGCTGTTAGTTTGGTAATCGGTGAAAATTTCATGTATTTACGATAATTTGTTTTAGAGTAACACCAAAAGCAAAAATCGATTTTGCGTAAAAATTCTTGTTTTTCCTTAATTATTTTTTTGTTTTTCGCTTTTGGAAAACTATTTGGAATTAGTATTACAAAAGTACCAACTAGATTCACTTTCCCAATGAACAAGATACTGAAGTTGAAAATCTAAGCATTATTTCGACTACTAATCGTGTACACAGACACAAAAATAAAAAATAAACACACATCATTGTGAAACCAATACATTCATCGCTCCGCTCAGAATCTAAATATGTTCTGGCTATCAGGCTATGGATGTAAAATAGGTAAAAGTATAAAGCACAGCAAGCACGGAGAAATGTATCAGATATCTAGGCCCTATTTGCGTGCCGTGAAAGAAACCTGCATAGACCTTCTGACCTTATACCACGATTTAAGATAGATGCAGTGTTGGGTAATAAATATTTTTTTTTATAAAGGGCTTGGCTATTATCATTCTGCACTCAATAATGTAACTTGAAATACATTACCTTTTTTAAAAAGTTATATTTTGAAAAAGATGTACAGTTATTACATATTTACATAACAATACATTAGTAATTACTATTACGAGTTATGACTACAAAAAATAGTATTAATTAATTGTACCTACTTATCAATGGTGATTAATCATTTTAGGTATAGTTAAGTATTATATATTATTTATGTCACAAACTCACAACATAAACCTTGGGTGTGTGAAAATAAAATCATAATGCATATAGAACGCCATAAGAACTTATTAAATTATAAAAATAAACTGTTTGTAAATGCCAAAATATGGCCATAATGATTTATAACAGTACAATGTAAATATTTTGATTTTATTCAATTTTTAGAAAAATATTGTGTTCAATCAGACTATGCGTTTTATTTGATAATCGTTTGCCGATCGGTAAACGACAGCGACATCTATAATTAACATATAAACTTCATTATCGGGGCACCGATTCTCCGAACCGTCCGAAATCGGTCTGATAGTCCATGCTTCTAATTCATAAGGAAACGTTATGCGAAAGTACCTACATATTTAGAGGAAGCAAATTCAAATTAAATAATAAATTTAATTAACACTATTCCAGTGATTTAAGGTGCAATTTGACATGTCAAATGTGGCGAGTTAAAATTAAATATTATATACAAATATTACTTATTAGATTGGTAAAAATAATATAATACCTACAAAGATTATAGACAGAGATTTTTTTTCAATTCTCTATAGGTTAATAATTCAAAACTGTAACTAGTTATTCTATAGAAATTACTTATCAAAAGTAATTTTCATTACTTGGAAATAATTCTAATGAAATTACATAACGTGTTACAAGCAAAGTAAAGCCGTTACAGTAACGCGTTATGGACATTTTATGTCTTTGTTTTGGCACATAGAATCGAAAAACGTTACGTTACAAAAAAAAAAAAATGAAAATATCATTTTTCTCATCAGAGATTCGAACTCGATATACGCGCTTATCACACGATATAGTTAGATGAGACTGCATTAATATTATAATATTACAATATTACCTAGGTATGATGTGCTACATGCCTACATATGATAGCAAGGACAACAAATACATAAAATGTGGTTCTTCATTGCAGACTCGTATGCAATATGATTTTATATAATGAACTCGAACGCAAACTTCCAAGGAGTATTTTTTTAAAGATTAACGACTGGGTTAATAACATAAATTATAGGGCACCCGGGAATTAGATCACTTTAGTTTTACATTTATTAACAGGTAGACCTAAAGATTGGACCACTATTAAAATCGATTTTTATTATTTTTATTGTTATTTGACTTAGTATTCGACTTTCAAAATAAATAAAAAATTGTTGTAAATTTAAGTTATGTTTAAATGGTTTTAAGACAATTTTTATAGAAAAAATTTCACGGCTGCAAAAGTCCAATGGAAAACAATGAATTATTATTATTTTCGTTAAGTTACTACCCAACACTCGGTCTGTCGTGCGTCGAATCGATTAGAAGCGGCGATTTTCTGTTTTTGTCTAACAGACGTGCAACATAGGATTATAGACGTGTTCTATTTCCAACGTACCGATTAATCTAGTGAAGCGATAAGAATTCTGAAAACATATTTAAATTTGTCGTCAGGTCTACTTAAGATCGACTTTCCCACATTTTTGATATTATCCTCCCAAAATCATAAAAACGATATATTAAGAAGAGTAATCAAAAAATCAAAAATAATCTAAGGATCGTGAATGGGGCCCTTAGATCTTGCGACTCATTTCGGTACTATCTTTTATAGTTTGATCGGATTATGCTAGTCTTCATGGATTGTATACCTACTGCGAGTACTGCCATATAACTCCATGACGCGACCGTCGACCGACGAACTCTCTCACTTTTGTGAGTTATGAAAAAAATTTGGTCACGTTTTGCAACATAATTTCTTTCATATAAACAAGGATTGCAAAAATATTTATGAATTATACATAGATATAGCAGGTTAAAACTTAATCTTACAGAATTAATTTTCATTCATATTGTTATGTACCGTAAAATGGGGTGACTCCGGACAGATTTGAACGTTTTTTCAAAAATTAACCTCAATATATTGTTTCTAAAATTATGAAAAAAATATGCAATATTCTTTAGGTATGTTGAAATCATGTAGGAGAAGAATAATCATAAAAGTCTTTAAAGTTCACACTTTTTTTAAAAGTTGAAAACTGTCCGGAGTCACCCGCAAAATGGGGTGACTTCGGACACGTATTAAATTTCATTAAAAACCGATGTTAAAATTACAATGGTTGACTTCGGACAGTATAGATATTTTTAAAAAAACGTAACGAATTAAACAAAAAAAAAAACATAACTTTATCATAAATACTACGTATTTTATTCAATATTTTGAAAAACTTCACATAAAATAAATTTTTACTTATATAAAAATATCAACAAATGTTATATTAGGTAGGTATGTAAATTATAAATTCATTTTATTTTTTCAATAAAAATTAGTTATATCAATATTGTCAAAAATAAAACGTCCTCGTTTCATTATTTTACTGGGCACTAATTTTCGTTTTTTTGTATGATCTGGGCATCGTAATTTTCCTGTCCGGAGTCACCCCGCGTTTTGAAAAAATTTAAAGAATGTAGCACTACAATGTATGAATAAATAAATAAACTATTTTAACACACGTAAATTATAGCTGATAAGTTTGCGAGCCGATTGCCGAAAACCGCAATCAAATATGTTTATTTGTTGTTGTTCTACAGATGTTATCAGTTCGATAATTTTTAAATCTAAAAATAGATCATCTTGTATTTACCTCTATAACATATGGTATGATAATATTATGTTACCAATAAATATTATTTTCTATGGAGGATATAATAGATATGAACATGGAGTATCAGTTTTCAACTTTTACCAAACTTGTAATCCAAAATGATAAGAAAACTACAAAAATATGGTTTTGTCCGGAGTCACCCCGCATGTCCGAAGTCACCCCATTTTACGGTAATTTTAAATAATTACCAAACAAACATTTTTTTTTAATAAATAAAATGCTACCATTGATTTTATAAAATTAAATACTTTTAGCTTATTCAGTCGTTGATACCACAGACTTGAAAATGTGAAACTATTGTAATTTGTAGGTATGCCATCTAATATCTATGAACATTCATTTTTTTTTATCAAAAAACTAAAAACTTGGTTGACATTGCAGAATTCCACTTGGTCCAACCACTACATCCTATAATCTATAAAAGTAACTTTCATAGTTCCGACGTTCATAATCGAGTGTAATAAAAATCACCCTGTAAAAAAAGATTTTGCGATATTGCATATCACAACGGTAATGCTTGACAGTGACGTAGCCAGAATTATGAAATGGGGGGGGGGAGTGTTTAAGAATAGATTAAAACCAAGTTTTTACAGTTTTCGTATATAAATAAATTTAGGGTTCGGGACTTGACTTGATGCACTAAAAATTATCGAATAATATGCAGTCAAAATTTTCAAAATATGCTTAAATATATGTAGCCACATTTTTATATTATTTTTGAAAAATTCATAAAAAATATTACAATTTTTGTAATAAAAAACTAAAAAAGGTGCTCTGCTGTACAGTAGGTTACAACTTGGTAGCTGTAAAATGGATGATATCAAATAAAATTGACCTATAATAGGTACCTATAATAAATTCCAAATTAATCATATCACAATACTATCATATAGATATATAATAGTGTTCTTTAGAAGTTTCAAGTTCCCACGAATAATATTATTCAACCACAACAAAATAACTAAAATAGTTATTCTAGGTTTTTGTATTATGTAACTTCGTCGAGTTCGTCCAAATTTGAACTTAAAATGACTATAAAAATAAACTGTGCTAATGTAGTTTTTAGATTTTTTGGTAACAGAATTTACTAACGTGGAATCTTGTTTTAAATTTTCAATCCTTAGATATAAAATTTGATCTTTAAATGCCTATAAAAAAAAAATTGTGCTTATGTATTTTTCATATTTTCAAACTGATATTGTAACAATGTATCAGGAGCCTTGTATTAAATTTTTACACTTTTTGGCCCAACAGATAAAACTTTATTCCGTAAAAATTCCCGTTTTTCCTTAATTTTTCTTTTGTTTTTCGCAGTGCGTTTTCAAACTACTTGAAAAATTTTACTTTTGAAATCTATTTAAAAAAAATAACAAAAACTAATAGTTATCATTGATTGACAAAATGAGTAAATGACGCCAAATGACCATATCCTAGGGATGCAATGCAAAAAGTACAAGTATACCTACTCAAAAAAAATTCTTAAAAAAAAAAAAATGTTAATTATATAATATACACTGGGGCCTGATTGCCCCCCTAAATGTGTCAAAAATTGGCCGCAAGGGGCAAATGTCCCCGTTGCCCCCCCCTTGAGGCTTGAATACGGCCCTGCCTATACAGCTTACCGGACAGTGATTACCAAGACCAAGTATACCTACCTATTAAAATTACACCCACCTCAAACTTTTTGGTGATTCAGTGAACCACAAAATGCACACTCAAGCCGCCTCTGTATATAATATGCGAATTATTTCACAAAGCTTCAATTACGCCGATTTGTCCTTAAAAATAAAATAAAATAACACCCAAAGTATATTAAAATATATAAATATTAAATACTCTTAAAAATCCGGAATGATTAACTATGACTTCAGTTTTATTTCAGGTAGGTACATTGTATAAACATTTTTTTTCAATTACAAATAAAGCTATATAAGCTATATTTTATCACACACCTCGTTGTGTCGAAACTAACACAGGTTGCTTACCTGATGATATACTGTTCCGTGTTCGCATAACCATAAGCTAGACTCACGGGCGGGATGGCTAAAAATTAAAAAATAATATGGTTTTGCTTCCATATTCACACCGAATTACACCCAAAAGGAGTTAAATTATCACATTTTTTTCCAGGGCAACACTAGTATCAGCTAGTATAAATATATAATTGACTAGTTAATTTCAAGAAAAGTTCGTCGTAAAACTTTGTAAGCAATCTTATTTAAAAAACGATGTATGTATTTTATCCGTGACGAACAAAACTTTATTTCAATAATTTAAATTTGTCTTTTTTCATGGTATAGGAAAAGATAGGGACATAGGAGCGGGAAATTTGATAGGGGCCTATATAGCAGCACTTGTGTTAAATGGCCCCCCACACCCCCTCATAGATAATTCTTAATACATTTTTAATTTAACAAACAAATATTTGTACTGAACTTAATATTTAAAATAAAATGGCTGTCCAATTATTTTTTAGATTCTGATCGGAACAATGAGTGTACCGTAAAATTGGGTGGATTGTAACAAGTCATTTTAATTTGGTTTTTATTGTCGACACATAATCAATTTTAGTAGTATCAATTTGATAAAAAAAGATTTGAATTCGTAGTGATAACTATGATATCTTAATGCTGATAAGTGATAACTGTTATATATTTTGAAAAAAAAAATCGACATGATCAGATTTATTCTACCTCTACCAACAGTCCAACTACCTTATACTGACGGAGCATATAAGCATAATATAAGGCCGGCGGGGTTGGGATTTAGAGTATTGGCAATTTACTTTAGATATATATGTATATTATAATATTATACAGTAATAGACAGTTTATTGTATCATCTATTGCGTACCTATGCGTTGTATATTCGGTAACTCCATAACAGCGCAGTCACGTCAGACCACCGGAACTATACCCAAACTCCATCTACTAGTATAGGGTAGAACCACAGAATATATGAAATTCGGTAAAAAAAAGTTATTAAGTTCAAAAAACTCAAAAATAATAATTTTTAAGCAATAAGAACTTTTTATAGGTACTTGTCATATCAAAAAAATAAAAACAATGTTGCACAGTAAATGTTCTTCTCTTAATAGTGTGAAAAATTGGTTACTTATAGCTTAGCCCTACAGCCCGAGTGGTCCAGGGTTCTTACCCACGCAAAAACCGTTTTTGCATTTGTAAGATGGAGACAACAGATACGGGAGTGGCGTCCTCTTAAAGCTCGTCCAGACGTAACTGCTTTTCCGTACGGCCTTTGTCAGCTCAGCGCCGCGAAGCATTTTTTTTTTTGTACGATTATTATGATTTTAAAAATAATTTAAATATAAAGTTATAAAAATTAGTACTGATGCCGCCCGACTTTACTGGTTTCCTTTAATGTAAACCGCGTACTAGGCCAAGGGCTGATAGGAAATTTTTCCGCAACAAACGAATTTCACACTGCTCCGAGTGCTCCGTCTGGATTCTAGACCAGCTTTTAAGCACTATTAAATTCAATGTCTCCACGAATAAAAGTTTCAAAGTCACAACTCGCCCTTCTATGGTTGCGAACTTGCGACCTAAGACTTGCAGAATGCCGATTTATTTATTTAAAAATAATGAACCGAGCCTGAATGGTATTGAAGTCAAATGATAAAATTATGAGCCTGTCACTCCACCTACCTGTTAGAAATTTGATATAGCTTGTACGATTGTATATAATATACATCAACAAAGCAACTGGCAATCTACTCTGATATTAATCCTCCATCAGGCACGCCCGGAGGGAGGGGCCAGGTGGTAAAAATTTTTTTCAAATAAAAAAAAAATATAAAAATTCCTTGTCTGTTAATTTATAATTTTTGTCCATGATTATACCCAATATATATATACCTATGCTAAGAAACTGTCATCTGTCGAACTTTAGTATAGGGTACAGTGACATAAGAACTGTAATACCACGCGTCTATTAATACATTCAGTTTGGTCACTAAATGGTATTAGATATTAGTAATTTCGTTAAGGGGCCTCGCTACGGCTATTATTTGAGGGCCAACATTTAGGCAATTTTTAATCAATCACAGTTTACAATAATATAAGATTTAATGTTTACAAAGTGTTCCGTACGATTTATAGACAATTTTCTGGCGAGTTCGGATTTTTTAGAATAAAAATCGGACAACGTAAACTAACTTTAATTTTGTTTAAACTTAGGTCTTTTGAGCTAAAATTGACGGCAGTGGCGAGGCCTCTTAACTGTGGTACATTGTTATGGGCAGGTATGTTTGATCCACTCTATAATAATATATTGGTGTATACTGTATAAAAATAATATATTATGATACTATTACTATTATTGTACACTTATAAACCTAACACTATAGATTGTTTATTGTATTGACGTATTGTTATACAATTATATTCATATTTTAATTGCATTGTAAAACAATTACAGTTAATGCAGAAAATTGCAATTAAAATTTTTACTTGGATATAATATAAAACACGAAACTAACGTATCACTAAAATTAGGGCTGATTCATTAAATGGTTTATTTTTCCAAACAATTTATTTATTTATTATGCAATTGATAACCAATTTATATTAACCATTATGTAGGTAAGTATCTAATTATTAGGTACCTAATCAATATAAATTATGAATTCTTATATTTTTAAAAAATCATCATAAAGACGTCATTAAATAAGGGTAAGGGAATGGGGGACCCCCCCACAGCTTATATGTCACTAAAAGTAGGTATTTTGCACCTAGTGAGTTACTTATCTGCGGGCGTGCCTGACCTTGGAGCTTGTATATATTGTCGACCGTTTCCATTTACAACCCTTAAATCATAATACTATACATTTGTATACCATATAAGATACTTAAGGGTAAGTTCAACCAAATAGTGTATAGAACAGTACAAGGTACAAGGGATAAACAACCATTGATTAAGTATACTTTAATCAATGCTTATTTATACTAATATCACTACGCATAATATAAACACTTTTTTTTCAACTGAATTTGTAGTTTTGGTTTAGTCAATAAATTATTCAAGGTAATAGACCTTAAAGGTTACAAATTGAAACCAGTGAGTGGATGACCACCCTTACCCATGGGTAGTTATGTAGTGTCAACAAATTCTTATTGCTTGACGTTTTTTGATTGTTTGCTACTATTAGCAAATTAATAACTATACTTATTAATAAACATTAAAATACGGCTCAATAACTATGTGTCGTTTAAAATGTATTAATAATAATGAGAATTATATACTCGTACAATGGTTCTAAAGTCCTTACCGAATAATTCGTTATAATGTACACTGGTTACTCAATGATAAATATAAATTTACAATAAAAAGAAAAAAACATTTGCACTATTCTTTTTATACCCAATTGATATTCGATACGAATATCGAAGCAAGATGGGTTGAAAGTATTTATTGCCAAAAAAAAAATCACACACTAGGAGAAATTGGTGGGAAAAAATCGAAGCAAAAATAAAACACTGTACCTTACACAATACTTGGGGTTCAATGCTACCGAGGTATCAAAACCTAAGTATTTCCATTGACTAGATGACGTATTAATATTACGTTTTGTGATAAGACTACATATTCATTAATCTTTTAAATATGGATTGCCCACATTCAACATCTTGTCTCTGAGAACCTGATGCTCCAGTTTCTGGTTGCCAAACATGTGTTGCATGTTTTGCTCTTTGAAGTTGTGGAACTGCTGCTGGTTAGGTTGCACATAGTTCACATCTTGAGGCATCTGTGCATAAAACAGATTGGCAGGAAACAATGGAGGGGATGGATCGATGTTGAAATTGTACGAGTTGGGCAGTGTGTTGGGCATGAATACATTCGGCTGCACTGGTTTGGATTGTTTCATTGGTTCTCGAACAGAATTAAATGAAGAGTCATTTAGTCGTGTCTGTTTGTCCTGGACCAAATTATACATGGGAAAATTCATTTTATCCTGCCCTAGCGATAGATTGGCTAACCTTTCGATGTTAGTCTGATGTTGATAGGGGTACAGACCATTAGGTGGCGGCACTAATGGGTTAGGATATATGAGATTATTGAATTGGGGGTTAAGATCTAAGTTTAATGCTGGAAACGCACTGTTGCCAGTTAGATTGAAGTTGCTTGAATTAGCAGGCATAAACGATGTTTGCTGTTGTTGCTGCTGCTGCTGCTGCTGTTGTTGATGCTGCTGCTGCTGCTGGTGGTGTTGTTGCTGTTGTTGAGATTGCAGCAACTGGTTAGGCAACATAAAATCTGATTGCTGTTGCAGCACAGGCTGGAACGGTTGATACACCTTCTGGGTAGCCTTTTGGTTCCAGTTCAGATTCTGCTGTATCTGATTCAACGTAGGTGGTTGTTGAAGTAAATCGGGTTCAACACCACTACTAGTTGCACCGACTGGCAAGTCTGAAAGTAATTGCTTATTGTTGAGACCTAGCCTATCACATATTTGGGTCATGTTGGCCAAAAAATGTAAGTTGGAAAGGAACTCTGGCGAGTTGTTCGTTTCTAACACCGAACTAGAGGTTTTTGGAAGGACAGATTCCATGTTGGAATACAGACTATCAGTATTTGTCTGAGATATTTGGGGTTCTGTGTGTGGTGGCACATTATATGGCGAACTCTGACTAAGAGCTTCCAAAAGGTACCTATTGAAATCTGGAGCCGGTAGTGGTTTTTTTTCAACAAACTTAGGACTTTCAATAGGTTTAGGAGGTTCTTTAATTTGAGTACTCATCGGTCCCCAAGAATCAGTAAAGCCATACACGTTAGGCTTAATTTCTTTCCGTTCAGACTGAATGAGTTTTTCATCAATACCATCATCTTTGGCTTCAACTGGGTCATTCCAAACAACTGAATTACTTTTGGGGCGATCACTGCTCCAAATATCTACAGATTCCGTTTTAACGGGCTCTGAAGACCAGTTAGAAGCATCCCATTTATTTTTGGACACATTGACACCTACATCACCATTCCACATGTTGGACGGCTTTTTTTCATCTTTTTTTTCTTCTGGTTTATTCCAACCAGATGTAAGAACGCTCCAATCATGGGCTTGAGGTTGAGGTCTTTGATCATCAATATCATTTGATCTCACATTTCTTTCTGGTTGATAGTTGTCTTTGATGAATGTTTCCTTCCAGTCACCCCTCTGCCTAAGTTTTTTTTCTGGCTTAAGAGGGCTGTCAGTAGGTGATGGTTTATTTTCTTTAGGTTTGTCTTTTTGAATGTGTTTTGACTTGCTTTTAATGTCTTTTCGTTCTTTGGACCTATTGTTCTTGGAATCATCTTCCCAGAGTATCCCAACTTTAGGGCTTTTATTAGTTTTATTGTGTTCAGATGCAAAACCATAATCATCTGATTCTTTAGCAAATGAACTGTTATTCCAACAATTTATGGATCTAGATTCCTTAGATCCTCTGGAATTCTTTTTGTTTTGGGAATTATGTTTTTTTTGGAACATCAGGTCATCAGAACCAATAGCATTTTCTTGGTCATTTTTCCTGAAATTAAATTAAAATAAATTTTTCCTGAAGTTTTATGTAAAAAAAAAAAAAAAGGAAATTTTATGGCATTTCAATTATAATTACCAAGAGGAATCTTTGGTTCGAGAATGTTCTTCGGCACTTTTAATACTTTCAGCAATCGCCATTTTTAACATTTTTTCTTCCTCATTATCATCTTTAGCTTTGGCAAAAAGTTCTGACCCTTTTTTGCGTGCCCAAGCATTTGTAGTAACAGCTATAAAATAATATAATGTTTAGTATTTATTACACATAGCTATAAAATTTGACTACAGTATATTCTAAACTTACGGAATGTTGCAGCAGCTTTAATTGGCTCTGAACTAACAATATTATTGCCAGTGCCATAGGTGCATACAAATTCTTCAATATTGATCATCTTGCTTTCTTTCTTGGGCTTACGCTTGGATTTAGGTTTTTGTGTAGTACTAAAAAATAATATAGTAAAAGCTTTAAATTTACATGAACAGTTTTCTTATTGTTAGAAACAAATCAATACAAATTCAATTTTATCATGTTACCAGATAATCAAATTAAGTTTAAAATAAAATAATAGTTAAATACATCATTTTTAAACAATTGCACTAAAAGTACAGTACATTTTTATTTTTTAATCACGAAATAAACATTTTAAAATTAAAAATAGCAAATTTGTAAATCTAATATTTAGATAAATTTTTATAGTAAAAACTTTTATCTAAGTCAAGTAGAGTCCATTTTTACAATACCAATATTTTTTTGGAGTAAATTAATTTGAAAAGTCACAACTAAAAACCGGATTCTTGTGCAATTGTATATTTCTATTAGGCGTTCCAAAACTTATAGAAACCAGTTATAGATCTGTAACTATTGTTATAACTTATTACTAGGTACTTATTACTAATATTTATACTTTTTTCCTGAATGAATTTTGTTAAAAACAATATTATATATTATATTATGAAAAATAATTTAATTATCTCCCTGTATGTATAGATTATTATAGAACCAATATTTTAGTTTATATTTGAAATAAGAACAACCAGTAAGTACTAAATTATATCACAAGGAACTATATTTAAAAAAAAAAATAGTCTAGTATACTTTAATTTTATCTCAGCTTCTATTAACCGGGACAAATTCAATGACAGGCTAGGACACCAGGACGAGTGCAAAATGGCAACCTTAATTTGTAATCGCCGTGTCACTTTATCAGTTTCACTGGACTTTTAAATTAAATTTAATACAGTGTAACAAAGAAAGGATGACATAATACTAGTGACTTATGTACAATATCCGATTTAGTATTCATTCGGTTTCATTTATCAAATTCAACAGATTCCATTACACAACTCGAAAAGCAAAATTTAACTCTAACTATTAAAAAGTATGGTAGTAAAAATACGAGATGAATTTGAGCAAATTGAAAACGTAATTGGACAAATACTATATGAACAATTTAAATCACTATTTGATAAAAAATCCTAGATACAATATTTTAAAACAATACAATGGTTCATCAAATGGAACCGACGTCAATTTAAAAATAGATCTGGCTATTATAAGGTGCTACAAGTAATGTTCAATAACAAGTGTCAATGCAGAATGCATGTCTTCACAACTAAAACACATATTAAGTGACAGAAGACACAATTTCACGGAAAAAAATTTTAATAAAATGTTGTAAAATAGATTACATTTTTATATTCTATGTATATCTACCATACATATAATAATATTATGAAAAATAAATAGGAATAAAGGTAAAATTTGAATTACCTACATTGAACAAATTATTTTTATATAACTCCTAATAGGTAGGTACATCAACAATTTAGTTTTGCATATTTCAGAATATTTTAGATAAACGTTTTTAGTAATAACTTTTTTAAAAATATTCTTTTTGGAAATTTCCTGATATTAGTATATTTCTTAAATTAATTATTATCCATATAATTTTTATAACTTATGTCATACATTTAACTAGTATTAATTTTTATTTTTATTTGTCAGGTCTTCCTGTTAGGTACAGCCTGTAAAAGTACTTACCCAAAATATTCAACAGTATCGTTCGCTTTTTTATTTCCGCCACCAGAAGGTCTTCTATTTTGAGAACCTGAAGTTTTATTTATTTTCCTGCACATAAAAAAAGCAAATAAATATAGGTATTATATTATATTATAAAGATTTATATTATATTGATTTTATAAATATATATATATACCCTTCTGGAACATTGTTCTTCCATTCCATCATGGAAGAATTTCAAAGCCTGAAGACTTCAAGTACGTACTTGATTTATAGAGATGGTTGTGATAAAAATGTCAACTCCCTGGAAAAAAACAAAATACACACTTATAATAATTACTCAAGTAATTTAACAATAACATAAAATAACTATGGAAACATAAATATTTAAGTAACTATGTATACCTACCTAAATGATTAGTTTCTGCCTACCTACTTATACATAATTAACATAATATATTTATTATTTAAATTAACTTCAATAATTTGATTTACTTAACAAATACCGAACAGGTGTCGTGTATTTATGAATAAGATTGAAGTAATTTATTAAACTTAGTATTATTCTCACGTCTTGCCATTTTTTATAAAAGTGGGTTAAACTAAAAATGTAATTTTATAATTTACATGGCAATAAAAAACATTGCTTAAAAAGTTACAAATGCAAGTAAGTTAAGAATTGTTTTATTCTGAGTACATAATATGTATAAGTAGATGAATTGTAAATAGTAGTTATAATGATTTCAAAAATAAGAGTGTTCAGTATAAAATGAACAGTGTAACATAAATTTAAACATAAATTGTGGGAAGTTCTAGTTGATAGAAGACATTCTGGGCCAGAAGGAGGAAGATGAAGGTGAGTTGCAATTACTTATACACCGCCTCAAAAGAGAACAATCACTTTTAGCGCATCGTGAATGATGCAATTGGCACATCAAGAAACACACGATCATGCTAACACCAGATCGTTGATGGGGGTGTTGCGTAGCACTGACAAAAATCTATCGGCAGACTGATTATTCTCTTTTGGGACAGAGTATAGGTAATAGACCAGGAAGTCATCAAAGTAACACAAAATCAGTCTAGACAGAAATGACTAGCGATAAGCCTTTTTTAATTGTGCAACCAACCCTGAGGGAGAACAAAGAGTGTCAATTTTATTAGGTAATATAAAATAAACAATATGGGGCAGGGTGGAAGTAATGACAATGCCTTACGGTTCAAATAGAAAAAGGGTAAGTAGTTCAAGTTGCAAATTTTTTTTAAATTAAAGAGAGAAAATGATAAAATAAAGTAATTAGGTAATGGTGGTACATTCATAAGTAGTTATAAACAAAAAACTAAAAGCACAATGAAATATAAAATTGTATTAATTCAATTTACATGTTCAAACATTATTGAGTGTTATCTAATATCTATTAATTAAAAATCAATATACCTACATAAGTATTATAAAGGTACAAGGACAACATCTCTTAATTTATTAGGAACATAAGTACTTACCTATTATATTATGTCCTTATTATGTTATAAATCTTATAATTTTACATAACCACATAACTAATACTGATGTAAGTACTTAAGTGACATTATCAAAACTAAATTTTTGAAGGTCTATATACATCCAGAACTGAGAAATTCAAATAATAAATATTATATAATATGAGCAGATAAGAACTCAACCTTTTGAAAAAAATAATTAATTATCAGTGAAAATTGGTAAGTTTCACACAAGGTAGACATGGTGGTTAAGTATTTAAATGAACAAAATAGAGAATTAGGCAATGATTGCTGATTTAAAATTAGATTTTTAGCTGAATAAAATGAAACACTTTTTACTATGTGCTTATAAACACATTTTGACAATCAATTTTTTAAAATATCGATGTATAAAAATTAAGTCACACATTAAACTGAGCAATAAATATCATAGGTAATTTGATTTAAATGGTTAGATAATGAATATTTTATCTTCTCAAAAGCTTCTCTACGATGTAGGTAGGTACACAATAGGTAACCTACCTATATTAATGGAATGTTAGTTTTTTTCAAATTGTATCAAGTATCTAACAATTTCATAGGGATAAGATAGGCACCTAGTAAACAGGTAAGATAAAATTAATGACTTAGCAAACTTATTTAATTTGTAGCATTTATAAGACAGGTAGTGTATTGGTTTGTACGCTGTATATATTGTTGTGTATAACACACCTATAGGGTACCTACCTACCTAATTAAAATATGTAGAAGTTAGAGTAACACTCAGGATCTAGACAGTAAAATTTATTGAGCAACATAAATCAGAGAAACATTACAGTCAACAGATAGGTATAGGTTGTACCTCTCTATGTGCACATCATAGATGAGTAGAATTTTTTTTTCTGTAGCATCAGATAAGTCAATCACACAGACTACTATCAAGTATCAGAGGAACAATATTCATTAGAATCTTTGCGAGAACCGAACATCTGTTCTTAGGCAGGGTCGAGTGGACACTACTGTAACAATATCACAACACCCGGGCACGTATCTCTGAGGGATACACGAAAAAAACAGTGGCGGAGTACACGTCTCGGGGACGACGGACACCCAGCGAAGGAAGTGGTCGCAAGGGGGAGGAGACGACGACGTTCCGTCGGACTCCAGACGGCGGCTCAGGGGAAGGTGAGAGCTGTAGTGGTCGTACTTAGGCCCAGGGGAGGCTCAGGACGATAAACGGACGACTTACCCTGCGGTGTCCTCTGTGATGGAGACAGCGCGAGATCCGAGTAGTTGCCCGGGTGGCGTGTCGTGTGCAATTCTCGTCGGTCGACCGTGCGAAGATACGTCGGCCGGCGGTGATAACCTCAAGAATATTATCGTTGTGGCGATGTCGAAACGGCGGCGGAGAGACGAACGGACGAGGTGCACTGACTATATAATATTATTGTAATACCTACCTACTCCAAACAATAACCGAAACGCACACACACACGCGCACGCACGTACAATACTCGCGCGCACACACACACAAACACACACTCACACACACGCGCGCGCGCGCGCGCTCACATCCGACGGTAACTCGAGTTTTACCTACGAGATTATGCGACGGGCTGAGAACGTTGTAGATAAAAATATAATAATAATATAGTGTTTTTATTCGTTTTTCGTTTATTATTGTTATTGTTTTTCAGTCAACGACGATCGGCGGAAGACGTCTTCGCTATTTCCGATCGCATATCCGTCATAGGTACAACAACCGAATATAATATGCGAGTAGGATTTTTATTCTTATTTTTTCGGTATTTCCTTCTATCTACCCAACGAGCGTTTACACTCCGTCACTTCTCCATCTCGCCGTACCACGGTCGACGGGACGGAATCGGGAGGAATATTCATTACGAATGGCTCTCAGTGCGACCAACCCCCGCGGTCCCACAGAATGCCAACGGTAGAATCCGCCCACCCCGAGTAGTTAAGGTTGACGTCCGACCAAAAATATACTTCATATTTATAATAATAATATCCGTTGTCCTCACAGACTTTTATAAGTAAAATAATATAATGTCTGTTATTCGTGGGTCTATCATGATTCATGATGTTAATAATAATTTATAAGTCGACTGTGTCTTCAAACTTCTAAAAGGACCGTATATGAGTTCGTTGGACGCAGGACAGGTGTCAGGTAGTTGTTATCGCCACCGCTTATCGTTTATCTATCATATTGTTTTTTACATGAACTATAATATAGGTAGGTCGTAGGTACTATGTACCTTGTCTTATTCTGTCTAAGGTATAAGGTCTATGGTAGGTACCTTAGAATACCTTAGTTTATCTTAGTTCGTGGTTTTTATATTAATTATAAATTATTTGTAGATTATATTTTATTAGGTAATGATAGCTGGTATAATAGTACAAGAAGATTATCATTATATCACGGTCCGACGATGTCAGTTCCAGGGGGGGGGGGCTAAGGGACGCGGTGCTACGACGTCCAAATCCCAAACTCGTATTTATAAAATATGTTTATTGTTAAAAACAAAATTTAAAAAAAATGTATTATAATTTATAGGTACAATCGAAAGTTTTTTGAAAATTATGGCGTTTAGGTATTCCATAATATTTTAGTAAGTACCTACCTACTTAATATATTGTAAAACTGTCACTAGGTACCATGTAATTTGTAGAAAGTAAAAATGGTAAAAAAATGTTAGTTTTGGATAAATTTAAATTTATTTTACCGAAAATCGATGGAGATGTTACAAAAAATACTGTTCTGCTAGTGTTTACACCGAAAATATGGATATGCATGATGGAAAGTTTACGTCGCAGGTACTACTAATAATTGTCAACAGTGGCGTGAACTTTTTTTTCCTATGAAGCAACTACCTTAAAAAAAACCCAAGTACCAAACACCAATTGTTCACATTTAGTATTTACACTTATCTTTTCACGCATTTTAAACGCTGGTCATATGTGACTATGAGAGTATAAATTGTAAACTAAATAGTCCTAGCCGTCTAGGTCTTGGAGACTGTAGTCATTGGGATACCCACCCCCACTTTTTTATGAGGCGGCCGCCTCATAAAATAGCTATTCACTCCGCCACTGAATTTGTGAATCGTTTCATTCCCACTTTAATCAACAGTTTTATAAATAACACGCAAATATATTCTATAGGTACCTAATCTTATGTATATTTTAAAAAAATTGATCGAAAGTGACACTTCCATCTAAATAATTAGCGCCAACTTAAATATTCCAAACACTCCAAGAAATAAGTTCACTTCATTAAAATGTACCTACTAGGACCAGTGGCGGAATTTTAACATTTTTCTGGGTTGGTGGGGGGAGGGGAGTTCTGAATTAACGATAAATTAAAAATATTTATTCAACGTATTATTTCTGTATATCTGAAACAGGTACCCGGCGCGATGGCAATGCCGTGGAGCTAAGTAAAAAAAAACGAGTAGCCACTAACGTACATTAACAGGAACCAGACCATTGAAAAACCGTCCTAATTTGTGCTAATTCATCGGCCCCGCACTACAGGACAAATGGCTGAACATAAGGTCATATTATAAGGTATCAATCGATGAGAAATATTGTGCATATGTCAACGGGGGAACTCGCAAGCATCTTAATTGGATGGCTTAAAAGTTACAACCAAAAATGTTCAAGTACTTTTAAGTCCAATTTGTCGTACCTATGCTATGAAAATATTGTAAAATATAATATCCCCCCCC